AGTTTGTACCACCCACAGTTCCAAACCTTTCAAAAATATGCATCGGAGGTTCAAATGGATGGAAACCGTCCGTTTGACCGTTAGTTGACTAAAAAAGTCAAAATTTGACCAATTTGGACCAAATTGGAAAGGGCAAAGTGGTACTTTGCATTTTTTCTTAATATTAATAATTAAAATAATTAATGATAACAATAGAAAAGTAAAAATAAAATAAATAAAAATTTAAAAAGAAAGAAAGGGAATACTATTCATCTTCATCTTCATCACACCCCACCCCACCCCCTTACTCAAAACCTAAAACCAGAATACCCCATGGCCACCATCACCGATTCACCCAGCCCACCCACACCATCGTCGGAAAAACTAGCTATCAAATCTGGAGACACCCAACCCCAGTTGAGAAGTAAATTTTGAAATAGCTATCAAAACTTCATCCAATCCCAAACTTAAATCTCAAATAGTCAAACACGGAAGTCAAGCTTTTTATGCAATAGAAGTCAAGCTTCTGTGAACTGAGTTCGAACTCAGTTACCTTATCCAAAAAAAAAGAGTTCGAACTCAGTTCTTGACCGATAATGGAGACAATGTTTAGGGAAGAAATGTTGGTATAGGTGGTCATTTCTGGATTTGGGTTTATGTTATTTGGAGTAGATGTTATGGCAACAATGATGGTGGGTGATTTGCAGGTGCGACGGCGTGTTGGTGACTGGACGATTCGATTTCTGGTTTTCATTTGGGTTTGGTGGGATTTGATTTTCCAATGTGCCGTAGGGATGAGTTTTGTTGGTTTGATTTTCGCTGATACGGATGGAAGGTGACAGTGGTGAGCGGGAGTGCTGTGGCGACGGTTGTGGCAATTTCCAATGGATGTAATGCCGGAGAAGGCGAGCTACTTTGGTATGGGGATGGTGTGCCGGTGGCAGACTCGTTTCTGCTGCCTGTTGGTTTGATTTCGGGGTGGGGTGGGGTGGGGTGGGGTGGGGTGGTGTGAGGAAGATGACCCGTTTTCGTTTGGTTTTTAATTTTTTTTTCAATTTTCTTTTTTTTCTCAGATTTTTTATTTTTGATTTTTTCTTGATTTTTTGATTTTTTTTTCCAATTTATTTAATATGGTAATTATCAAGTTACCATTTTATTCTTTTCAATTTGGTCCAAATTGGTTAAATTTTGACTTTTCTAGTCAACTAACGGTCAAACGGACGGTTTCCATCCATTTGAACTTTCGGTGCATATTTTTGAAAGGTTTGGGACTGTGGGTGGCACAAACTAAATGTTTGGGCAAAGTCTGCTAATAAACGAAAGGGTTGGTACCTCGACTACAATTTTTCTAAAATATTATTCAAAACTATGTTTTTAGAATTTTAAAGCCTAGGGCTAGAGTCTTTGTTTAGGCTCCATTTCAATGAGAATTTAAGAGA